AAAAATGTAGATCCCAAAGAAAGTTGTAGATTGGTATATAAATTTACTTCCTAAAAGTGTCTATATGGACAAAATTAAATTTGATGCTTATTTCTACTATAAAAAATTGAAAAAGAATAAAGATCATATACAAGCAATTATCATTTAAAAGAAAATAGATTTATCATTTCAGGGTGAATAACATTCCTGTAGTAGAATATTGAATGTTGGTGGTACAAAAATTGAGGTTATGTTTGACCATATAAGGAAAGAAAAAGCCATAGTTTCAATCGAAGTTTGCATAGATAAGATTCTGAAATACATATAGTAAGAACAGTCATTTGAATGGGAAACTATATCAAGTAAAGTGAATGGACTTGTTTTATGCATAGACAAGCAAGAAAATGTTGGACATTCTACTGAATAAAATATTGTCATATTGCACAGGTTTTTAGGCATATAACTGGATATGCATCTTTATACATATCAATAATATCTGTGTAGGTTCTAATGAGTACACAAAGGGTCCTCAGTTGAGAAAGACTTGCCATTTTTAAGAAAAAATTTCTTTGGGTATGAGAAGAATACAGCAGAGGGGTGTTGACAGAGGGAACAGCTATCTGAAGTGTCTCGTATTTGAAAAAGAGAAATAACAAGGGACAGAAAAATGACAGAAGAAATCTTAACACTCAAAGGGATATATGTATTATTTGTCATCTTAAAATATTTAGTTTAATAAACTTTAGCATAAATTGTCATAAATTGTTGAAGAATGCTTATGTGATGTCACAATACCATAATTCTAAAATTTGAAAATGACACAAAACTCTCAAACATTATGTCATTGGAATTAATGTAAAGCTGCTTTTTGGTCTTTATGAATTCAATACAACAATAGACCTCAGTGAAGGAGTTTCCCCAAGAAATAGAAGATTATTTCAATCTTCTGTTTAGGTTAAATATATCCTATTAATGTATTAAAACAATAAAGATAAAATCCTTCTCCAGAAGATGCCAAAAAATGAAAAACAACTAAACTAAAAACAATTAGTAGGCCATCACTCTTTACTGATTTAATAAATAACACTCCTAAAATAAACCCAATTGGAATGGATAGAAATCTTATTGTTTAATTTGAAGCAGATGCAAAGTAATGCTTTTAAAACATTTGAAGGATATTCACAATAATAAAGTGAATACCTCTATGAATTTTCTCATATTAAAACTAAATAGATTTGTGTATTTTCTTAATATGATATGATTTATACGGTGGAAACTAAAAGCAAACATCATGCTTAATGGTAGGAAAATGAAAAACCCTTGACAATTTTCATTGATGTTTGGAACATGGCAATAATGTCTCTCCTAATATTTTTATGTAGAAGCAATGAAATTAAACAAGAAAAACAAGTTATACTCACAAGGAAGGAAGAAACAGAACAAATTTCTTAATCATAGTTTATGTGAATATGTTTAAGAAACCCCCCAACAATTATATGAAGTACTATTTTTACCAACAAGAAAAATCTTAGCAAGGTTGCTGATTTTAAAAATGAATATATTCAAATTAGAGGTTTTGCGTGAATTCATAACCAGGTTTTGAAAAAAAATGTTTAGGATACAGAGTAACCAAAAATAAAAGAATTAAGTGATATATAATAGTTACAAAGTTTTCAAATTTTAGGTAAAAAGTATCTTCAGCAGTAAAACAATATTGTTGTGGGCCAGGAAGTTTTTATATTTATGATGAAATAGTCTACCTTGAATTTTTCTACACACTAGAAGCTGATACTTACAAATCATGTAACTCGTCTTCTAGAATATGTGTGAAAGTATGGCTTGTCCAAGAATGAGATTGGTCCAGGAATATGCATATCTTGTATTACATCAGAAGTAACACCTAATTATTTCCCTAAAATTTCTTTTTTTTTTCTTATAAAGAAAAACATTTAATTGTGGTGGCTTACAGTTGCAGAGGTTTAGTCATTATCATCATGGCAGGACATAGTGCATGCAGGCAGATATGGTGCTGGAGAAGGAGCTGAGAGTTCTGCAACTTAATCCCCAGGGAACGAGAAATGAACTGAGTCTACACTGAGCATAGCTTGAGCATTAGTAACATACTTCCTCCATCAAGGTCATACAACTCCAACAAAGCCACACCTCCTAATCATGCCACACCCTTGGAGGCCAATTACTAACACACGGGTCTTGTAGTTTTATAGTCAGTCCCCACTTCTGTCCACTCTCCACTTTCTGACTGCAGACACAATGTGACCAGCTAGCTCAAACTACTGTTGCTATGCTTTCCTGTCTATGTGGACAATGTCCCTTCTTAAGCCAAGAGCCAGAACAAAATTTTCCTCAGTTATCTGTTTCTGTCGTAAACATGGCGATGTGGTTCTTCAGCCTTTAGACCTAGTTTGCATGAGGTATGTGGAAGAGTTTGAGATTTCGGGCCAGTGAAGCTCTAGGATGTGATTGGTAGAGCTCAATATATCATGTTTGTGATGGTCAGAAGCCCAGGATGCTGAAAGAAAAGTCGACAGTGGAGACCTAACTCGTGAAGTTTCAGGGGGGAATACAGACTCTCCTGGGAACTGAGCTGGAAATAATTTGTGTGACATTCAGTCAAAGGAACCGGGCCCTAAAATTTCACAACTTCCTCATTTCAGGGTTCTTAAAGGGATTTTAGAAACATATATGTATGTTAAATACCTGCAGGTTGAAACATTGGCAACCATTCTCCCTAGTTCAAATCATCTTTACTGACGGCAGTATTTGGCCTATGTTTTGGGCCATTGTGACCTTAGCCTCCTCTAGCCTGCTGTCTAATTTCTGACACCTAAAACTCCAGAAGCAACAATATTAAATAGGGCTGACAGGAAAATGGTGTCTTGAAATATGACAATAATCTCACTGCCGATTCTGTCTATATTCTTTTCATTCTGTTACAGTTTCTAAGAGTGAGTTCATTGTGTCTGTGCATGTGCACACATCTATACCTTTTGGGAGATGTTTATAAATTTAATCCCTTTTAAAGTTATATTTTTAGTTCTTTGAGAATTCCATACATTTATTTTGGTACCCACCCTAACTCCTCCCAGATCTACTCCTCCCTCCTAACTTTGTGTACTTAAAACAAACAAACAAAAAACCAACTGAATTCATGCCACTCACAATTGTGGGTCCATGCACTGGGATGTTATCAACCTACCAGGGACCAGAGGCCACACTTGTAAAGAAAACTGAGTCTCCTTCTCCCAGAAGCCATCGATTAGCTTTAGCTAGGACCTTTTGGAGTTATCAGTGTAGCAATCCTGCCATGTTCAGAAGACACTGTTTCACTCTAGTCCTTCTCAACCTCTGGCTCTTACAGTCAGTCTTTTCACCTCTTCTTCTGCCATGGTTCCTGAGCTTTGGAGAAAGGTTGTGATATAGATGATCATTTTGTGGCTTAATACTCCATCTGCCCTTATTCTCTGAACTTTGACAAGTTGTTAGTTTCTGCATTTACCAATGTCACCTGAACAAAGAAGTGTCTCTGATGAGGTCTGAGAGCTACACTAATTTATGGCTGAAGAGTGAATTTAGAATGGACAGTTTAAGAATTGTCCATTTACAAGAATAATAGTAGTAGGCTTATCCCTCAAGCCTACATCTCTTCAACAATGTGTTCTTGTCTAGATTTATATTTCTAAACAAATGTTTCTTCCGGTAGAGAGGTTCTTTAAATCAGAATATAGTTGGTTGTTCCTACAATATTTGTGCCACTATTGTATGATAAGAATGTCTTGCCAGCCCAGTTACTTTAGTAGCACAAAGGATTAATAGCTTGGTACAAGTGTTGATGGCTGTTTTTCCCCAAGCAGCCAGCATAACACATTCCAGTATGATGAAATCTAGCCATCAGGCATTACACTTCCTGCTCAATACTAACTTTATTTCTCCATGTCCTGTTCATAAAGTGGTGTCTTCAGCAATAGGATCTTACCATGAAGTTCTGATTAGCAACCAAGAGCAGCGACAACACACTGTATTGTTTTGATTGTCTATGACATACCTGGCCAACAGCTTGGGAGAAGTATCCCACACTGGGCACAGGGCTTTATGTTTTTTTGACAATCTATGGCTTCTGGAAGGAACACTATCCCTTATATAAGATAATTCCACTTTTCTTTCTTTCTATGTAGGTATGTATGCATGTATGTATATATGTATTACATATGTATGTATGTATGTATCACTTATATATCTGTCTTCTATAGAGTATCAAAATTAGGTATATTTTTCAGTTATCTTCAGTGTTGGTTATCTTCAGTGTTATCTTCCTTTCCCTCACCCTGATTCTCTACCCTTCCCTCCCATTGCTCTCCCCACTTAAACTTCCCTCTCTATTGTGCCCCTTCTCCCCTTAATATCACTTGTGTCCCGATAGTCACTCGTCCCTAATATGTCCTCCAAACCCTCAACATGTGGTCCCTTTTCAGTTCCCTGGTACTCCAAGTTGAACACAAAAATCTAAAAAAAATTGACAGGAGAATATGTAACATATGACTTTCTGGGACTGGCTATGTCACTTAGTGTATTTTCCGGTTCCATTTATTCATCTGCACATTTCTTAACTTCATTCATCTTGACAGCTGAATAAAATTCCCTTGTGTATAGACAGCACATTTACATTATCTATTCACCAGGTAGATGACATCTAGATTACTTTCATGTCTCATCTATTGTGAGTAGAGCAGCCATGAACATGGTTGAGCATATGTCTCTACAGTAGGAAATACATCCTTTGCATGTATGTCCATGATGGTATAGCTTGGTCATACAGTTGATCTATTTTTAGGCATGTTAGAAACTGCTGCATTGATTTCTATGGTGGCTGCACCCATTTGCACTATCACCATTTTTGAGCAATTCTTAAATTTAATTTCGCTATATCAATGAATCAGCAATGTAAAATTCCTGTCCTCTGTTTTTATCTAAGAGTCATGGGATCTCATTTGTTTTCCTGGCAGGTGTTTTTGGTCACTGTCTGGAATTTTGAACTCTACATGATCCCTCTGGCTTTGTTGCTTATCTTTCTGTACAACTTCCTCAGACCCACGAAAGGGAAGGCTAGCAGCACCCAGGACAGCCAGGTAAGCAAAGATTCCCAGAGTTCCTCCAACTTCCTATGAGGACTAGGATAGTAGCAGGGTGTTAGTTCCATGACTAAAGCATGCTCTAGTCCATTGTTTGAGGCACGAAGAAAGAGATACAAGAACAATATCCAAAACAGGTATTTTATCATATCTATTCTGCAATCTTCCTTTTATAGTGACTCTTAGACCCACATCTCAGCTGATGTTATCAATATGGTAGGAACCCTCTAGATTTTGACTTTTGTTTCCTCCCTAGAAATCTGTGCATCTATCTAGTTTTTGATAGAGTTCCTGGGAATTACCTTCTAACCACTAGAGGAAAATCTTTGAGGGTTCCTTGGGCCTCTCTAGCATGCTATAGCGCTCTGGAAAGCTGGCTTAGGCCATTAGTCCTCTTGAGGTTTAACCAAGGTGCTCAGTAAATGGGTGGGAATAAACCCTACCCTATACTCCTAAATGCTGTGATTTCTACCATTATCCCCCTAAGTCCCTTTGTGTGAAAAGACACATAGTCACTTCTGAAAGAAATCTCTTGGTGCCTGCTCCTTCTCTGGCCCTCCTGACCCTCATCATTCATGCCAGCCCAGAGGTTATTTTCCTGTTCTAAGTGAGCAGGAATTTGTATTTGGTAACAAGCTTTAGGAACAAACCTTGACATTTCTAATTCAAGAAACAGGTTTTAAAATCAAAACTCTAAAATTTCAGTGTCTGACAAATTTCTTTCTATAACCATTGTCTACACATGAGTTTTTCCATGATTCCAATGCAAACATTGCCATAGGGTTTTTATATTCTCATGTTAAAAGTTCATCTTTGAAAGAATAGATAATGAAGGACATTTCTGGTTTCATTTAGGATGGAGAAAAGGTACAAAAATTAACACATTGAAGAGGCAAAACCTCAAGAAATTTCAAAGATCTCTTGTATTGTTTTATTATCTAGTAGTAGTCATGAACTTGTTTCAGTAGAATAGAGGAACCAACTAGCAAGAAATGGATTTAAAGTTTATGTGTATTTATGGACTAGATATTATATGAATATAAGTTAGAGGAACATCTCTAAAAGGGAACATCTGTAATAGAAAATGCTGTTAACTCACATTGGTGCAATATTAGCCAGATTTTATTTTGCCACCCAGTGTATGAGAGCTTCTTTATCCTATGTGCAGAAGTGCATATATTTGCTGTGAATACATATGTGTGTACAGATGTGCATAAATATCCTTTTATGGGTAGGAATATAAATTTGCATTGTTAAGAACTTTTTGATTTCAAAAACATATTCAAATTTACTGCTTAGTTTAGTCTTAGTAAGACAACTGTGAATGAGACAAGACCTTTCGTTTTTCATTTCATCATGCCCAGTGAGAACAGCAGAGTGATGGGTCCAAAGTCACAGGGACAAACTGCACAAGTCATGTCTCAAAGTGATGACATCTAACTTTTCCAACTGTAATGCGTTTACCCCCTCTAAACTTTCTTTGCTGCCTTCCTATGTATCTATTGGCTTTTATGAGGCATGAATGATGCCAATGGTGAATAAGCTAATCCCCTATGCAGTTAGTGAGACTGACAGCTGAAGCTCCTGAGGATTAACAGAGGTAAGGAAGCACCAGCCTGAGAGATGTTACACTGATGACTGCTCAGAGATATGGAGGAATAGAGTAGCACACTCTGGTCACTCCACAGTCACTTCTCTTAGCAGTTATAGTGCAGAAAATTGCTTTAAGCTGGAGGAACGGTATTAAATAGGAAGTCTGACCTTCGAGTGGTTAAGCAGAAAGGTAAGTCTCCAAGCTGAAAAGGTCCCTAGTTCTCTAATACCGAGTGTTCTTCCCCTGTTCCTGAACGCATCTGATTATAGCAACTGATAGTAATTTTTCTCTTCTCTTCTTTTTTTGAGGTTAGGTCTCACTATAAAGTCTTGAACACTGAATACGTAGAACCCAGCCTCAATCTCAAAGAAAGCCCTCTGCCTCTGTCTCCAGAGTGCTCAGAGTAAGGCATGTGCCATCGTATCTTAATGACGATGTAAAATGTTCCTATTAAACAGACAGAACTTCTCAATGGCTCTGAACGAACCCAGTAGCAACACAGGGTCACTCCAGCACCTGCTCTAAAGCCATGCACCTGTTAGTATCAGAGCCTTCAGTTTTCTTCCCTTCTCTCTTCCTGCAACCCCAAGGGGGACAATGTAGCACTCTGAATTATGACTCTATTCAGACTAGTGCATTTTCTATTGTAGAATGTTTCCCTGATGGCAGCAAAGAGAAAGGTGTGGCTCTTATCATGGTGAGTTTAGTAATGAGCCTTAACACAGCTTTGGTTTATCTGCCACACAAGAACAAAATTGTTTGCAGAAAGGATAAACTGGATGCTGTCAAAGGGCACTTGCACAATAGCTTTATTCATACCCTATGTTCCAAGCAGACAATGCATATTGTTTATAACCTTTCCACAGTGTCTCTGAACTTTAAAAGTGTGATTTTTACAAAAGGATATAATGAGTTTTAAAACATGCTAATGTTTCAGCTCCATAGGAAAATTTAAAAATGTGTGTTGCATTTGCATTGGGCAATCCCAGTTGATGACTACCTCATTAACAAGCTGTGGGGTTTCCTTTTAGGACGGCACAGACGTAGATGAGGAAGAGGCGGAGGAAGAGAAGGTGAGTGGTGTGCTGACTACAGACTCTTAGGAAGAACTACTGCCACCCATACTGTTTCCCCAAGTTGTGCCTGTTTTGACTTTTTGGAATCATTCAATATTATCGAAGTACTATGGTTAAAAAAAAAAAAAACCCTATGCCTTATTTAGAATGGAATGTCTACAATATCTGTTGTTTCTCTAATATGCATTATAGTAGTAACAACTACCTTTCATTTGTCATGATGATTATTTTTAATGATAATATGTGTTTGTTGTTTTGATGGATAGTGTGGTACTCAGTTTTTTCCAAGATTTTTAAAAATGAGATAGAAAGAGGGTAAAACATGAGCAAGTAAGTGACCTTTTCTAGGATGCAAGCCTTTATCTCTGTGGATAAAAGGGAGCCTGATAAGCCAAGAGCAAATCAAGGGAAATGCTTGCTCCTTTAGGTTCACGTCTGTGCTATGGGGTGGTCACCCACTTCTGAGCCTGTCACTTTCCCAGCTGTTGCTGGCAGCGTTCTCTGCTATATGTCTGTGTACAGCTGTCCTTTTCCTTCTCCTGGGAGAATCTCTCAAATCTGCTGCTTTTGTTGTCATTACACTTTCAGACAAACCTTCTGGAACAAAATGGGGAAAAAAAGTGAAGTACCAAATGAGAAGCTTTGAGCTTAATGAACTTCCAGTCCCTTAAAGCCTGGTCATGTGTGGGGACATGGTGGTGACATGGAGGAGGCTTGTGGGAGACAAAAGAGTAGAAAAGAGAACCCGGAGAGCAAATGTGTAATATAAATGCCTGATGAACAGACATTAATTCAAAGACTGGTTCTTGACACCAGAGCCTTACAGTTAATTGAGGGGACCAGATGGTTTTGCCTATTTGAAACAAATGACATATTACAGAGTGAATCTTATGTGTTATCTGAAGGTGATCATTATTAAAGACATGATGGAATAAAACAAGGTATATTTTTAAAAAAAATCTATTTCTTTTCAGAATAGAGACAATAGCAATGTAAATTTCTTCTTGGATAATTATTAATCAGCTGATTTGAGTGGTTTCTGAATGAGCAAACATTGAAAATTAGTTGAAGACCCATCTCAGTGCATAGAAGGATGTTTTAGTGATTTTATTATTTTTTATTTTTATTTTAGTTATTTTAAACTTATTTGAGGCCACTTGCAAGGCCGTCTTGTACTTCTGATGGCCAGCTGTAAGTTGGAGATTCACAGAACCCACTTCAGAGATTTAATAAGTTTCTAGAATTGCTCACAAAAATTTTGGAAAATACCTCCCTTTACTGGTTTATTATAAATAATTCAACTGGTGAACAACCAAACAGAAGAGATGCACAGGGTAAGCCTGGGGCAGTGTGGAGCTTCTACACTCACCCTAGGTTCAGGGATTCCTTATGTTAATCTTCACAGAATCCTCCTGACACTGTTTTGTGTTTCTATTATTATGTGCATGGAGGTTTCTCTATCAAGACAAGATGGATTAAGTAACTTAGTGACCATTGGTGATAGAGTAGTCTATCACTTCATCTTGAAAGTCAGGAGCTTATGGCAGGGGTGCAGGAGTTACACCTGTAAATTTCAGTCCTCTCATCAGATGCCTAGTTCCTATGGCAGGAAGCTTCCCCTGTTTTTTTTTTGAGGACATCATGCCCACTTGAACTCAACTGTGACATTAAAGCTCGCCTGAGGATTCAGGAAGCAAAGTAAGCCACAAGCTATAGAAGCCAGGCAGCGGTTGTACACACCTTTAATCTCACCATTTGGGAGGTAGAGGTATATGGATCTCTGTTAGTTCAAGGCCACACTGAGGTACACAAACTATATCCAGTCCTAAAGAGAAACATCTCACATAAAGATGATGTCAGCACTTGGGATCAGACAACTTTAATCCCAGGACTCATAAGAGGTATTTAAGACAGGAACAGTGTCTCAGAGCTGACATTCATTCTCCAGTCACGTTGACGATATGAAGGCATATATTCTCTAGCCACACTGAGGAGAGCATAGCAGTCAGTCTAAGGGAAGCTGAGGAGCAGTGAAGTCTGGAGCAGTTTGAGGATGATTCCTTTGGCCTAAGATGAGAAAGAAGGTAAAAGCTAGTGGTTGGCTATTTTGCTTTTCTGGTCTCCAGCTTGAAGCTTAAACCCTAATATCTTTCTCTGGGTCCTTTATTTTCCATGGTATACAGGTGTGTCTAAAGGGGGCTTGTTCTGCACAGCAAAAGATTCCCCTTCACCTATCTAGAACTTGACCTGATTTGGGAACAAAAGACAAAACCACATACAGGAACACACTCCTGCTGCTCCTATCACTTAGCGAAGCATGAGGGCTTTAAGAGTTCTGGCCAACAGCCAGGAACCAAGGCAAAATATGTATTTCTTATTATATCACAATATCACACTTAGGCAAAATTTAAATCTTCTAGAAACCAAGTTTAAAAGTGAGGCAGATTTCGTTTCATCCGAATCTGTTTAAATGTGCCACCCTTGAAAGAGGACTGCATTTACCCCCTGGGGACAGTTGGGATAGAGTATCTTTGACATATCACATAAAGGAAAGCTTCCAGCAGGAGGAAATGGATCCGTTCATCATGGCTCATGAGTGTACTCCCAGTGCTTGTAAGGCTGAGGCAGGAGGATTGCTGCGAGTTTGAGAACAGCCTGAGGTACAGAGTGAGATACTGTGTCAAACAATTGTTACCAAAACACACAAAACACTGAATTAAAAACCATTGTGTAAACTCTTCCACCAGATAGATATAAAAATGGCTTCTTACCTGTGGTAGGACACCATAGAAAAGCCAAGGCACACTTTAGGCATGATCAAACCTGTGACCCCAATGGGTTATGGAGCTTAGTATAGTACAAGTGTGGGTGACCCCAAAGCATATGCACTTCTGAAAAGTCTCACCCAAGCATAAATGACAACTTCCCCAGACCTGCATGGGTGAAGTCCCCTGTGGCTAACCTTCCACAGTCTAGGTACTCTGAGATCTCCAGAGACCACAGGGCTTTGAGGAAGTATAGGAGAATCTCATACAACTGACTGGGAGGTTTTTGTATGGGGGAGTGACTAGAACCCTGAGTGAGGGTTCCCTCATCCTCTCCAGTACTTCCTTCTAAAAGTGAATATTAGCCGTTAACAGACCAGGTCTTAAGGATCTCCTGTAAGAAGCCACAGCTACACTGATGAAGACAATCACTTGTGTGCATTCTCCAACAATCTTTCAGGCAACACAGTCCAATCTAGATTCTATCCCAGAATGTTATCTCTTCCCAGAGATGCCTGGGGTGCTGGAGATGGAGCAATATGTGCTGTTTCAAATCTTTCTGGGCAAAGATGACTACAGAACATACCATCCACAGAAATGGGCCAGGACCTAGTCTGAACCTACATACAATAGTCCTATCAACCTGTACTGTGTGGAATGTTGGCGGTGGGGCTGTCCTCACTCACTTCAGGGTGTATTCACTTCTGAGATGTTTCTATTAGGCATTCCAGTTATTTCTTTTCATAATTTTGTCATAACTGTGGTATTATGTTTCCATAGTTTTATATTTTTTATAAAACTTCCTAAAGAAAAAACCTAAAATGAAAAAAAAAGTTATCTATGATCTTTCTGATAAACACAACTTTCTGTTGCTAGGGAGCCTGGCACATTTTAAGTCTACACCCATGTCATGTCACTCACTTCTTGTTTTAGGGTTTCTATGGCTATATTAAAACATCATGACCAAAAGCAACTTGGGGAGGGGAGGGTTTATTTCAGCTTACTCTTTCACAGCACAGTCTACCACTGGGAAAAATTAGGGCATGAACTCGACAGAGCAGGAGCCTAGAGGCAGGAATTGATGCAGAGGTCATGGAGGAGTGCTGCATACTAGCTTGTTCTCCCATAGCTTATTTAGCTTGTTTTCTTATAGCACCTAGAACCAGCCCAGAGGTGGTACCCTACTCAGTGAGATAAACTCTCCTGTATCTGTTGTCAATCAAGAAAATGTCCTAGAGACTTATCCACTGGCCAGACTGCTGGGGGCATTTTCTTAGTTGAAGTTCCCTTTCACCAAATGCCTCTTGCTTGTGTCAAGTTGACATAAAACTCACCAGCACACTTCTCATTGGGATTTGCTAAACTAGATTTGTTGAGCTTCAAGTTCAACATTTTGAGGGCACATCCCAAGTGGGTCCCCATGCATCATTTCCTCTCTGTGGACAGGATCCCAGTACCATAATATGCTTGTCCTAGACTTGGCCAGACAATGACAGAGTCACTCCCCACTACAGGGTCTCTTCACAGAGCCCCATGGCTTCTGTTGTATGTTAGACATGACAGAACATGCTTCTGGGATCTGTTACACATCCAATCCAAGAGGAATCATTTACAAATTCTAAACACACAGTCATTCCCTGCAAAAGCAGAAGGGAGGGAAGCTACTCACTACTCCACCAATCTATCTTGAGAGTGACACATCTTTATCTCTAGTTTCCCCTTCCAGGAAAACACCATTAGAGATAACAGATGAAAGGCGGCCAGGGCCCCTCCGTCCTGCTTCTTCAGGGGATGAATGTACTCCCATCTTTTGCCTCTCTCTGACTCATAGACAAGGGCATGCATAGTCTGGGGTCTGTCATACTTTTATTGTCTGGGATAGAGATGGTCATAAAATGACATCACTGTAGCCTCTGGCTCCTTATCATTGTTAACAGCACACTGTAGTCATCTGTGTTAGAAACCAGAATGGATGCCACAATTCTGCCTTCTATTCTTTTGTGATGGTACATACATCTTCCAGGTAACTAGATTTGGGGCTTTTAAGAAATGAAGCATACAGACTAAACTATGAAGAAAGAAAAAACCTTCTTTCTTATACCAGATGGTCCATGTAAGAAATTGCTTGTTGCAAGTCTAGTTTTCTAGGGACCCCAGAACAAACAGATAATGGCTGAGTTCAGCCAACAACAATCCGTTAGCATTTTCTATTTTATTAGATTTCCTATGTGG